CCCCAACCCCTGCCCCTACCCCACCCCTGCCCCTACCTTACCTCTACCCCGACCCCTTCCCTATGTCTACCCTGACACCTGCCCCGACCCCTGCCCCTACCCTTACCCCTACACCTGCCCCTACCCTACCTCTACCCCTCCCCTGCCCCTACCCCTGGCTGGTGAGGGTCTGCTCCAGCCTGGGCTTCCTGTTCCTGCGTGACCACAGTGAGTTTCACCTGCCAGAAAGAAGACACCAGGTGACAGCAAACGACAGCTGCGCGAGTGCGAGGATGTTTGACGCCCACTTCCAGCTTCACGTCCAGTCAAAGCCAAGGATACTTCTTCCTCCTGAACCCCTTCCCGGGCCCACGTCTGGGCCCCTCCATTGGCCCGACTGCAAACTTCTCCCAAAAGCCCCTGCCTTCCCTCCCCAGGCCACGTGACCCCTTGTCCCCAGCTCCTGCGGGCAGTGGGCATCCCAAGGTCCGGCCTGCCCAGTGACCGTCCCACTGCTGTGGCCCCCTCCCGTGAAGAGCCACTGCAGGCATCAGGCCCACTGCCGGGGGCCCTTCCTGGACGCCTCTGCAGCCCAGCTCTCAGCCCCGTCAGTCACCTGCTCTGTCGACGCTGCTATTGGGGAATCCTCTGACCCCCGTCTGTCCCCATGGTCTCTGTCGGTGGGTCACCCGACGGACCGGACCTCAAAGTGAGAGAGGGACACGCTGCTGTCCCTCCTTGTCCACCAGCAATGGCCATTCTCAATCAGGATGAAGTCCCAATGCCCTCACCTGGCCTACAGGGCTCCCCACAGCTGGTCCCCCTCACCCTGGCCCCCAACCTCGTCCTTTCCCCACACAGCGACATAAATGTCTCTCGCATCCCTGTGACACTGCAGTTCCTGCTGGCTTTCCTGGAGTTCCTGTCCTCCTCCTCCTGTCTGCCTGAGGGCTTGGGATTCAGCTTAGCGGTCCCTTCTTCGGGGACGTCCTTTAACACCACCCTGTGCCCTGCAGACGGCAACCCACCGGTCTCAGTCGCCCTCTCGATGGGTTCCCAGTGCCTTCTGTCCTCCCTTCCACACTGGAACCTAAGACAGCCTGTCCCCTTATCCATCCCCTCCCTGCGTGAGTGTGGGTGAGATGGTGGGCAGATCCCACAGCCGGAGGGTATCTGAGTCTGGCCATC